GTGGGATAATATGCATATTTTCTACCTTTTTCCAAGTGGGAGGTCTTTACTGTACTTGTTCTCTCTCCAGTATTGACTTGGTTAATTTGATAATATAGTCATGGGTTGCTGGACCATCTAAACCTGACCAAAAAAAAAAAAAGGCACACCCTGAAATTGGAGCTGATTATGGCAATCTGATGAGATTTTTGGCTGTCTTAACTTGGGAAAAGACTGCATTTAGAAGCTGGACATCAAAGGTGCAGCCTTCAGTGAACATTCGTAACTTTGACATCGCCGTCTCTCAGGTCTGTTTCCTCTTTTTTAACTAACGGAGCCCTGATTCTATTTGAAGAACCATTGTCTCCCTCTGCCAGTCTGTGGAGCCTAGATGTGGCTCCACTCCTGATTCTAAGGATGGAGCATGTGTCCTAAGCTTCTTTGGTCAGCACTCTGGATATCTGTCCCATAGGAACTGCTTCAAAGTTGGCCCCCCTGGTCAAGCAACTTCCTCATGACTTTGGGAACTACTTAAGTCTACTCTGTATTTGAACAAGAGCTATCGGGCAGGACTGACTTCATTTTCAGATTGATTAGTGAATACCCAGTTCCTGATTGTCACCCGGTGTCCTATGTTCAGATATTTTTCTCGCCACCAGCTTTGGGGCTGTCAGACCTGCTCCCCCGCCCCGCCTCGGCTAGGGCAGTGGGCATGGAACCCAAGCCAGGATAACTGGACTCCCGCTCTGTACCTCGATTCTCAGGTGGAGTGCTGGAAAGGCAAGAAGGAGAGATGTGGTCTCCTCTCTAAGCTCTGGTGCCTTTACCAGACTGCTGAGCAGTATCTGCTGCACGGACTCTGGCCTGTCTGTCTTTGTCCAAGCCTGGTTCTCCAGCCTTCCTGTCACTTCTGTGGCCACTGTCATTGCAGTGTATTCCTTTGCTGCTAAACTCATCCAGAGTTGGGTTCTGTGGTTTGTTACTCCAAGACCACTGGGTCACTCGCCCTTGCTTTTTCCAGGTAACGTCTCAGTCCCTTCACACGTGCTCTTGATTTAAGTTTTAGTTATATTTCATTTACATAGCACGACTGGAGGAAAGGGTGAGAACACAACATTTTCTTGGGATGACCCTGTCTGCAATCCTAGAGAGAGCATTTGAGGACTGCCTGACCTTGTGAATGGTACATTGTCTTAGGGTGCTGGTGGCTGTTTATGTGGGAGGGCAGGGCCTTGTTTTGATCACAGCTTTGTCCCAAAAGGCCAGCCCAGTGCCTGGAATATATCAGTGCTCTCGGTATATATACATTGATGTTGTTCTCCCTTTGTCTTGTCACATTAGGCTCATTCATTCCTTTACTAAATATTTATGATTCCCATCAGAATGTATGCTGAGCAACACAAATAGGACACTTGCTCTCAATGGTATTGACTTTTGGTTGTAGCTGTTCAGCTCTGTTGTGGTAGCTTGATTAAAGTGCTTTAATTGCTGAGAATTTGATACTTAAAATGCAATAATGTCGCAATAATACAGGCTTATTCTTCTGGAGCAGAGGAAAAAATTATTACCCTGAGTGGAGAAGTAAACCTTAAAAGGCCAGAGCAGAAGGCATTTCTGGCAGATCAGTATATCAATTACAGGCAGTCTTTTTCTAACAGCTTCTTCTACATCAGTAGTGTAGGTTTGGGGGTGCTGAGATTAGACGAAGGGGACTGTAAAGAAATGAAGGATTTTTTTGGTCTCTTTTGCACTAATCTTGGAGTCTATGACTTAGGTGTCTGTGTTGGTAAGGAAGAGGCAATATTAAGATGGAAGGTGGAGGGTGCGGGTGGGCGGGGCGGGGGAAGTGGTGGCAGGAAAATGTAGACAACTGTACTTGAACAACAATAAAAAAATGAAAAAAATAATGATTTCATCAACTAAAAAAAAAAAAGGATTCTTTTCCACCAGGGGTGGGGGAGGAATATTGTAGATTTGGATACAATTATGTTCTAAAACAAAAATTGAGAAATTTTACTTTCCGAGCATGTATTTCCCCTAATTTTAAAATTTAAACATTTACATGTAAGTTTTACTTAAATAAATAATATATTTAATAAATATTAAATTTACCAAATCAGTAATTAAACAGTTAAGAATCAAATAAAATTGAATATTTATTTAAGAATATAATAAGTAACACTGATCACATATTAAAATATTATATTTATTAAAATGAATAGCTCAAGGAAATTTAGGCCTCACCAGAAGAGCTGGACTTAAGATCACCATGTTAATTTTTTATTGTGTAACAAATTACCACCAACATCACAGTTTAAAAGAGCGTAAATGGATTCCTTCACAGTTTCTATAGGAAGGGAATCGGGCATGGAAGGCCTGAGTTCAGCGTGGATAGTGTTTAGAGAATAAGAGGGTAAGGAGGTGGGGAGGAGTGGCAAGCCCTGAAATTGGAGAGGTAAGCAAAGTAACAGCAATTGTGGAGGCACACTGGAGTTGCGAGCCTTTTTTAAGAGTATTAGAAAATCATGTTGGTGTTTTAATCAGGAAAGGGCCAGATTTACCTTAGAATGGAGATGATGGCAAAATCCTATCTTGAGCAATTGATAAATGGTGACTTTGGGAAAGATAGAGAACGTAGAGATGAGGAGCAGGGTTTTTTGGGGGAGGGGGCAGAATGATAATAAACTCAGGCTTGACCATATTTTATTTGAAATGTCTGCCATTTATACAAGTGAAGGTGTCCAGTGAACAGTTGGACCACTGGCTGAAATTTGGGGAAAGAGATCTAGGTTGAAAATGTAGACATGTAGGTAGATGAAGGGCTCTTAACCTTTTTTTTTTTTTTTTTTTTTTTTTTTGTGGGTAGAATAGTGGTCAGAGGGCCATGCTTTGAGAATCTAAAAGAATATTTTAAAAACCTCTTCTCAAAAAATTAACATATATGTATATAAAATACTGGATGAAAATGCTAGGGATCTTCAGATTCTCAGAGGACTAAACATAAATTACAGGTTAAGAACCCCGACTATCAATGAAGCTATGGAAATGGATAGCATTGTGTAAGGAGAGTTTGCTAGGAGAACAGAAACTTAGAGCTGAGTACCTAGAGGTAGAAGAAGAGTATGCAGCAGAGAAGATCGGTATGTGAAAAGTCAATGAGGACAGGGGAAGAAAATATTTGAAGATGGCTAGAGTAGGGACCAACTAGGTTGAAAACCAAGAGATTCAGAAAGGAAGAAACTAACAAGTAGCCTTTGCAACAGCCTTGACAAAAAGTGTGCGCTATGAAAATCTAGAGGGGAGCCTCTGCAGGCTACCGATCCCTAGGTCCCCATCACCGCCCTTCGGAGTCAAGGCTGCTAAACTGTCGCTAGTCCATTGAATATTGGAGATCGTTAGCGAACTTGGCTGGAGCAGTTTCAGGAAGTATGAACAAGACCAGTGTGAAATGAGTTGGGACAGGAGAGCCTGGAGTAAGTTCAAATAAGCTGTTAGAGAAATGATACAAGAGAAGATGGAACCATCAAAGGGGTGGTTCCTAAGGAGACAGAAAGAGGTGGGACACAGAGAAAAAGTGGGAGACCCCTTTTCTATTTTAAGAGATGCAAAGCAGAAACAATTGGGTATAGATTTTGTTTCGTCAGGCTTTAGTTTCCTCTACAAAGTAGAAGAGACCATTTGCTGAGAATTTGGAATGTATTCTCTTCCTTGCAAGTATTTCATTGAAAGAATTATTTGGAAATTATTATCTATGTCTTCATATTAAAATTTATTTTTATATTTTTATTGATATGACCAATGAGGACTCTTATTTGCATGACAATAGGCTATGTATAATATGAATGTATGAATGAATGAATGAAGTGCAGCAAATGATTATCATTCCAGTATATTTGTTTCTGACCTTGAATTTGGTAGGATTGACATACTGAAGGAAGTCATTCTTTGTCAAGATTCTTTCTTGGGGTGGTATTAATTCACATATCCATTCAGTTGATATTTATTAAGCACCTCCTATGTTCCAGCTATTGCTTTAGATGCAGAGGATAAAGCTGGTTCTAAGGTCAGTTGCCTGTCCTCATCGAGCTTAACTTGAGATGGAAGCAAAACAAATAATAAAATTTCAGAACAAAAGAGCAAAAAATAATAAAATTAAAAAAAATGGAGTTAGGGAATATGCATGGTTGTGGGGGTTTCCATTTGGGTGGGCTGTGCAGGAAGGACTCCCTGGAAGTGACATTGGAGGCTTGAATGGAAGAGAAGCAGGCAACCATGATAAAGTCTGGAAGGGAGCTTTGGAAGCAGGGAAATAGCAAGTGAGAGGAGAGAACACACGAGTGTGTACAAGGGCCCACAGGCCATATTGTGGGGAACCAGAGTGAGAAGTCGGCAGAGTGACAGGTGAGAGCCCACTGAGGGGTCAGAAAACAGTGGCATCTTAAGCACATGCATGTTAAAGTACTTTCTGGCTGCTCTGTGAAGAATAGACTAAAGGGGACAGAGCACAGAGCATTACTTTATTGTCATAAGGCAAGACTTTCTTCCATTTCCTAAATCCTCAAAGGTAAATTGCCTGTCTGTCTAAAAGTGAACCCTTCGCAGATCTTCAGGCAGCTATTATCTTACGTTAAAGGCAGGTTCATCAGTCAGTTTGTGGCTGGGAGGATTAGGGTGACTGACCCTGGCACCCAGAGGGGCCCCTCTCACAGGCAAAGGAGAGAGGCCTCCTTTGGTGAGTGCAGGTGACGCTCCCAGGTCCCCACCTCTCTTAGTACTCGTCCTTTCAACCTCTGAGTTGCCCTTATCTTTCCTGTTTCCTGGTAGCCCCTCATTCGGCCTCCTCCCAGGGGTACAGTATTCTGGTCGCCACGGGATTGGAAGTGAGCATGTTTCTGTCAGGGTTCCACTAGCAGCTGGCACTCCGAGATCCAGATCCAAAACCCACCCTCTGGCCTTCGCCCCGGAAAGGGGGCGGGTGGGGAGCGCCAACCTTATCTCCCGGGCTCCGCCTCCAGAGGGCTGAGAGCGAGTTCCCGAGCCGCGGAGCTCTGCTCTGGCCGCAGCGGGGAGACGGGGCTCAGGGCGGAGGGCAGCGAACCCACATCAGCCCAGTTTTTGTCCGGGTTGGGGCTGGTCTCCGCCTGGGACGCCCTATACCCCTGGTGGAGAACGCAGCTGACTGCCGCGGCAACCCCGACCCTGGACCCTGTGCCAGGTAAGGCGACACCTATTTCTCCCCTCTCCCATCCGGAATGACAACTAAGGGGGCTTCAGGGCTGGCCCTCCCGGGGCTGCGATGTGGCATTTGAGGGTGCAGTTTTCTCCCCGCGCTAAAATGCTTGGTGAACTGGGTGGTAGGCTCCGTGTCCAGGATGGAGGCTGGGATGTCAGGGTTTGTCTTGCAAAGTTACTTGAGTGTAAATGAATCTAGAGGTTCGTTCGCTAGGCGCTCATTTCTGCCTCAGAGTGATTGTCCTGTGAGAATGAGTAACTTGCGGGGATTTACTTCCCTAAGCTCCTCTTCCTCTACCTCCTTGGAAGAGGCTGTGGCATCCACACGTGGTGCACCCTGGAGCGGGAAGCTGGGCGCATAGGACTGGGGACTGTGTGGGGTGGACAGAGGTTCTTTCCGCTTGCTGCATAGTAGGCTCACTAGGGAGCTTTAAAAAAAATTCGGTGCTTGAGCAGCACCCCAAACCGATGAAATCAGAATCTCTGGGAGCGGGACTTTGCAGATCTACGTTTAAAAACTGTTCTTAGGTGATTCCCAGGTGCAGTAGTTTGGGAACCAGTGAGTGAGAGCAGTGGTTCTGAAAGCGTGGTCTCTGGCCTGCAGCATCGACATCACCTGGGAGTAAAAAGAAACGCAAACTCTAGGTGGGGTTGACACTCTGGGACTAGGGTCGAGCTCTCTGTTTTGCTGAGCCCTCCAGGTGATGCTGGAGCTTGCTCACTTTTGAGAACTTGGGTTAGATCTCGGGTAAGCTAAGAGCAAACACCTGCACATGCCCCACCACCGACGTAGGGGGAAACAGACCATTTTTGGAAAATCTAAGGTACACTGTGAATTTTGGAGGATTTGTAAAGGACAGAGGCTTAAACATCATCTTGAGTAATTTTTACATAGCAGAATTAATATATTTGCTTTAGGAAAGATTATGAATTTTCTTTTTCTTTTTAGGAATTTTTCTTTTTCTTCACTTTCAGTATTGAAATGAAGCCAAAGAAGAAATGTACACGAGTGTCTTCTAACTGCAACATGAACCTTTGGTCCCTGGTGACAGGATCCCAGATCCTCCCTGTCATCAGTGCACATTACAGGACTCATATGCAGTATTTTTATTTTTTTAAAAGCAATTGGAGGTTTAAAGGCTTTGTGCCAATTCTCTGGAGTGAAAGGGAATTCAGTATTACATGTCTCTGGAATGTCTGAAGTGGCTCTTTTTTTTTTTTTTTCCCCCTTATAATAGAGATCTGAGATTTCAAAATTTTGGCTAAAAAATTCCAGCTCTTTTTAAGTCATTAGTACAAAAATAAAATGACTTTGCAAATAAGCTTAAGTGGATTAGAAAATGTAGCATTGGATAAAAAAAAGCTAGAATAGGCGTGACTCCAGCCCCAGCACATGTGTGCTGCGGTGGACACAGTGCTAATTGTACCAAGACTTTCTGTACAGAGAATGTTTATTTTCCAAGTTGCTGTTTGTGCCAATTTATGATTGAGGTATATAAACTTGTTTAGGGACAGGTACTAAGCTTGTGTTTAGAAAACTGGGGGAAATGTAGATGATGATTAGAAATAGGAGCCTTGGTCTGAGGCTCAAGCCTTATGCTCAACACCTGCTCTCTGCTTCCCCATTCTCTCAGATGGTGGCATACATTTTCCAAGCCTCACTTTCCTCATCTGTGAAATGGGGACTGTAGTAGTGCAATGCATACTTCATAATTCTAATATTGTTGTCTGAGATAAATGAAATAATGCTTCTATAGGGTGTCATAGTAAGTTAAATATTTGTTAGCTTAAAATATGCACATACCACACAGAAACTGAAAATAAAAGAGGAGTCTAATTCTCACTTTGAAATGAAAAATACAGTAATATCGATAATATTGTCAAATTTTATATTTATTTGCATGCCAACCTCACCCTTAGAATTTAAAGTTTTTGCTTTTTTACCTGAATGTAAACATGGATATCCTCAATTTGTCTTCATAATTTTATTGTATGTTTTATACGGAACTTTCTAGAATAAAAATTTTAAAGAAGCGTTGCTTCAAATTAACAACCTTGCTTTTATCTACTCACTGCCCATGGTGGAAGATTTCACCATGTTTTGGAGTTCATAATCTATTAACCTTCACATTAAAAAAGTCTTAAACTCTAGCTCTCCTTATCATTCCTTACGAAAGAAAATTCCTATGGTAAGAGAGCATCTAAAAGTGGCTGGCTGTGGCCTCTAAGAGAACCAGCTGAGGAGTGCTCTCTGGTGTTTCTTAGGTTCTTGAGAGAGAAAATAAAGTGAAACCTTAACCAGTCACATCAAGATTTGTTCAAGACAATATAAAGCACAGCAAAATGATGACCTACAGCAAGAACAGGCCTAAATTGGCAAAAAATGTACATAAGGCCATTTAAGAGTCCTTTTCTTCCATAACTGCAGTAATTTCAAAATGCTTCAAGCCACATCTACAAAGAGCAATTTCTTTAACATTCTTTGATTGAAACTGATCTGGATGATCCTCTTGGGACCGAATGGTTCTACTGAAAAAAATATTTATGATATTCCAAAAAGGATGCCACATAATTTTGTACTTTGAAATTAGTTTTGATTTTCCTATAATTTCAGTGATAAATTGAATATTAGATTTTTAACCAGTGCCTTTTTGTGACTCATCTTGCACTGTCTTTTTAAGTTAAATTTATTGGGGTGATATTGTTTAATTAAGCTGTATGGGTTTCATGTGTAAAATTCTACACTATGTCATCTGTATATTAAATTGTGTGTTTACCAGCCAAAGTCCAATCTCCTTCTGTCACCATGTATTTGGCCCCCTTTACCTGTTACCACCTCTCCCAACCCCCTTCCCTCTGATAACCACTATATTGTTGTCTGTGTCTATGAGTTTTTGTTTGCTTGTTTTCTTGTTTGTTCATTTGTTGCTTTCAGTTTTATATCCCTCATATGAGTAAAATCATATGGTTCTTGACATTTTCCATCTGACATATTTCATTTAGCATGATATTCTCAAGATCCATCCCTGTTGACCCAAATGACAGTATTTCATCTTTTCTTATGACCAAGTAGTGTTCCACTGTGTGTATGTACTAAATCTTTATCCAACCATCTATTAAAGGACACTTTGGTTCTTTCCATGTCTTGGCCACCATGAATAACACTGCAATGAACATAGAGGTGCATATCTTTGCAGATAAATGTTTTCAAATTTTTCAGATAAATACTCAGAAGAAGGGTTGCTGGGTCATATGGTAACTCTATTTTTAAGTTTTTGAGGAACTGCCATATTGTTTTCCATACTGGCTATACCAGTTTACATTCCCACCAGCAGTAAGTGAGGGTTCCTTTTTCTCCACAACCTCTCCATCACTTATTATTACTGGTCTTATTGATAATAGCCATTCTAATAGGTGTGAGATGGTATCTTGTTGTAGTTTTGATTTGCATTTCAAATGCAAGAAGTTAAACCCTTCCTGTTGGACTTGAGAGTCCAACCCTTCCTGTTACCAATCTTGTGTAACTTTTAGAAGACTAAACATAATCCAAGTTCTAGCATATAAACATTTTAGTGACTCCTCCATTCAGGAAATCAGGTCTTTATTAAGATACTTTTGAAATTACAACTCAATATTATTAAATTGACTAGAATTAGAATTTAATGTTATAAAATTAAATGTAATTACAACTTAATGAAAGTAGTGTTTTTTGTTTGGCTCACTGTGTACGAGATGAGTATATGTGGGGATGAAAGGAAAGATCAGAGGCCCATCTCTTGATGGGAGAAATGAGGGCATGTGGAAGCAAATTCAAACTCTCAGTACTCAAATTAGTGTTCTGGATAATTTAACTGAAGAGCCAAGAGAGTCTGTGATGTCGCAATTCAGTGACAGGATGTGGCCAATTAGGAACAATCAATATTGAAATGCTCCACAGTAATTTTATAATTCTCTACTTAAAGGCATAAAGCCTGGAGCAGAGATGATCATAAAGAAGTTCGCTTAATTGCACTTGATTTACATATCCTGGATCACTTAAAAGGTTTTGATGAGAGTTACCTGGCACTCATTTAGGTTCCTTTTAAGAGCCCTATTTGTTTCAAAGTGAATTGTTTTACTATCAAGTCCAATTTTGAAAGTCTTATGAGTAAACACATCACAGAAAATGGATACATGTTTTTATTTTGTATTTATTATGTTTAGATTATACTGCTGAGAATGCAATAGTAATTCTTTAGCTTGATTCATTATCATTCTTGTGAAAACAAAGTTGAAATGTTTATTTCTGGCAGGTAGTCCAGTCTCACTCAAAGAGAATTAGCCACAGAGGCCAAGTTCTTCAACTTTCTCCACTTCATGATTAAAGATACACACTCTTCAGCTAGACCGCCTAGCCTTGACCCTGACTCTGTGCCATACTAGTTGTTTGAACGAGGGCGAGTTACATAACCTTTTTCTGCTTCTGTTTCCTAATTAGTAAAAATGGGATCATAGTACCTAGCACAACAGGATTGTTGTAAGGGGTGAGTGTGTGTGTGTGTGTGTGTGTGTATGTGTGTATAGTGTATATATATAATGTATATATATAATGTGTGTGTGTATATAATGTGTATGTATATATACATATATGGTCCAGCACAAATGGCCCTTCTTATTACATAAAAATCTTTTATTACAAATCATAAGCATGTAATTCTGTAACATAACAATATCACACTCAAGCACACTACATAACATTTTAGGTGAAATGTTCAAATTGCTGTCCATTTTATGTGAGACATTCACATACCCTACTGACCACACTCAATGGCGTTACTTCTGCTGGACCCTGTATACATAAATGGTGCTGGCTCAAAGTACATGCTTAATAAGAATTTGCTATTATTGCCCTGGCCAGGGTGGCTCAGTTGGTTGGAGCATCATTCTGTGCACTGAAAGGTTGAGGGTTTGATTCCTGGTTAGGGCACATACTTAGGTTGCAAG